CATTTGGAAACACTGATCCAAAATCAGAATACAGAAGATCAAATAGAACAACATCAAACAACACTTCTTCCCTGGGCAGAAACACTCTTCGAGTGTAACAGTGATCTAGAAGGAAAAGGAGAAAGTACTACCAGTGATGACAGCCCAGTTTCAGAATGGCTGTTAGGATAGGGCATTTTAATGCTTAAAAAGGAAGGGCCATCTCTCAAAATGATGGCACTCTCAATTTAACACATTTAGTTTTATGGAAAAGGATTTCAAGAACATATCTACACATTTCATGTGAACAGATACAAAGACTCCTGCATATCCTTTATGCAGACTCCTGCATATCCTAATATGCACAGAATCACAGAGTCACAGCGCCGTAGAGATTGCATATACTCTATACACACCAAATACACACACACTCTTTAAATCCCCAAAGACATATTATGTATATTCAGACATACATAGAGCCATAATTATATCTGATATTCTGGGCAAATATAACAATTTGAAATACCAAAATAAAACAATCGTCACTCCTTTTAAAAAGCTTGTAAATAACAGATATGTATAAATTAAGTTTGAGCTAAATTATTTATTCTTCTTCAAGTTGAGCCTTTACTTTAAAACGCATATGTCAAAGCTGAAGTTAATAAAAACTTTGGAGGCTTCTAAAGACATTAAAGTTAGCTGACTCTATTAAATAATTAAATAACTCTTTAATTAACAATTAATTAAATATTTAATTATTAAACAAATAATTAAGTAAATCTGATTAAATAATATGAAAAACTGTCCATTCACAAAAGTCCAATATTTTCAAAACCATATTCTAAAATCTAAGTCAATTTATTTTCATGTCAGTTTGTCTTATGAATGTAATTTACTAGAGAATAGGTAAATAGCATTTACCAGGCTGTGATTCATTATTGCAATAAACTTATTTAGGACCACAATGCACAATGAAACACCACTTCACATCCACTAGGATGGCTATTAAAAAAAAAAAAAAAAAAAAGGAACATAAGTATTGGGGAGGATGTAGAGAAACTGGAACTGTTGTAAACTGCTGGTGGGAATATAAAACATACAAACCACCATGGAAAATAGTTTGGCAGTTCCTCAAAAAGTTAAACATAGAATTACCACATGACTCAGCAATACCCAAAAGAATTAAAAACAGTATTCAAATAAATATCTGTAAACAAATGGTCATAGCAGCACTATTCATAATAGCCAGAAGGTAGAAACAAGCCAAATATCCACCAACAGATGATGGATAAACAAAATGTGGTGTATCCATACACTGTGTACTGATTGTTTGTGTCCCTAAAAGTCATATGCTGAAGCCCTACTCCCCAACGTAATAGTGTTTGGAAATGGAGCCTTTGAGAGGTAATTAGGTCATGAGGGTAGAACCCCCATGAATGGGATTAGTGGCCTTATAAGAAGAGACACAAGAGACGTAATCTCTTTCTACCATACGAGGATACAGTAAGAAGGTAGCCATCTGCAAATCACAAACTATGTCTTCATCAGACACCAAATCTACTAGCACCTTGATCTTGAATTTCCCAGCCTCCAGAACTCTGAGAAATAAATGTTTGCTGTTTAAGCCACACAGTCTCTGGTGTTTTGTTACAGCAGCCTACACTGATTAAGACATACTACAGTGGAATATTATTCAGCCATAAAAAGGAATAAAATACTGACACATGCTACAACATGGATGAACTTTGAAAACATTATGCTAGGTGAAAGAAGCCATATACAAAAGGTCACATAATGTATTACTCCATTTATATAAAATATCCCAAATAGTGAAGTCCAGAAGCAGGAAGCACATTGGTGGTTGCCAGGAGTTGGAGGAGGAGTTAATGGGGACTGACCACTTAATGGGTATGTTTTCTTTAGGAGCAATGAAAATGTTTTAGAACTTGATCAAGGTGGTAGTTGCACAACATTGTGAATATACTAAATGTCACTGAACTGTTTACTTTAAAATGGCTCATGTTACACAAATGTTTCCTCAGCTTTCAAAAAAACTTAGGATTCCATAGAATAATAAATTTAGTTGTTTTAAAATTTTATTTTCTTTAGTAATAATGAATAATTATTAGTGAGTAAAGAATTGTATATATGAACAATGAAACCAAATCCTGGATTTTTAAATCTGATTAAATAAAATGTTTAAGTATCTCAGTTTTGATCAACACATACAGGTGTATTAAAGAGTTTATACGAAATATGTCTGAATATAGGGAGAATCATTCTCCAAAATGTGTCCATTATAAATATCATGTGTGTTTGGGGTTCTACTGAATTGCTTACTTGACAAAAGGCTTCCTTAATTCATGTATTTGAGAAACAAAGTACTCATTGGAGAAGATACTTTGTGTGAATAAAACCACAATCAATGCTTGTTTGGGAAACTAAGTTCACCTGACAAAAGTGGTTAAAAAAAAAAGAGAGAGAGAGAGAGAGAGAAACAAATAAAGTTAACATTAACATAATAGTTTCTGATGTCAAGATTCCACAGTAACAAATGCTGGATGTCACTGTATACAGAGCCTTTTAGAGACCACTTTAAAAAGCAACCCAGCAGATAGTTATATGTGTAGCTAATTAACAGACAACTACAGTACAAAACAAAACAAACAAAACAAAAAAACAACAACAAAAAAAAAACTTATGAAATTTGATACCTGTAGAATTTCCAGTGGTGGCCTCATACAGATTCAGAAAGTGCTTCATATCAAAAAATTTAGGTGATATAACCTAAAAATCTATGATAGTTCAAAAAGTAGCTCTACTGATGACAAAGACACAGATGTAAAAGATGCATTTATAAGAAGTATTAATAAAATTGTTTCATGAAATGAGAGATAAAAAAGTGAAATGCCTGAATAAATATTAATCTTGTATAATGTATAATTTTAAATATTTTTGAGTTAATCAAAAGAAACCCTTTTGTGATCTTAATGGGAAAATAGAGTATCACTTTATATTCAAAGATTATCAGTATATGTATGCATCAGAGAAAAGACTGAAAAGAGCTACACTATGAAAATATTACAGTGATTAATTTGAAAGGTAAAAGTGATTATTTCAGGATTGTGATTTTAATTTTCTCTATACTTCTTTTGCATTTTCAACATTTTCCTCAATCTACATGTAGTACTCTTGATTAAAACAGAACAGTAAGAACTGAAAATAAAGTTTATTTTCTTAGTGACATGGAATTATATAGAACCTTTGCTCCAGAAGAGGCCAAGAGTCTCCCAGTCTAACCTACTGCCAAATTGGAGAACATTGGACATCATCCAGCTTCTTCCTCATACTGAGATCAGTATTTTGAAAAACACTTGTTCCACTGTTAAACAATTGAAAAATTCCCTGATTCATCAGTAATTTTATTTATTAATCTCTATCTATGCCAGGGGCTGAGGTCTGCATGATAAACTCAAATATGTAGTATTCTCTAATTTTCTGCTACCTACTATTTCCACTTTTATAATATGGAGAAAGAATATAGGCTAACACCTTTCTTTAGAAGATAATCTATGAGGTATTCTTTAAGTTTTCACTTTTCCAGGATCTACTGTCGGTTCTGTTCCTTTGTATACCCTACCCGTCTTTCATTAACATCTTAAAATGGCGTAGCCAGGACCTAAAACAACATTCCAAATGATTTCTGATCAGCCCTAAAGAGTCAGAATTAATCCCAGGATATCTGAATATTTTTCTTTTACCTTTATGAATGCAGTTTAAGACTGTATCAGCACTGATAATAGTTACATGTTATTGACCACTTAAGATTATAATCAATGGAATCACCCAAGTCCATTTCACTAACAACTCAGGTCTTCCAAATCTACTGCTTAAGCAAAATGCATTTTTCCACTTCCAAGTTTAAATATGAGTGGGAGGGGAATTCATCTTAGAATAAAGGAAATATATATTTCCTGGTCACACAAAGCTCTCCATTTCCCTTGTATATTTTTAGCTTGACTAAACTAATAATCAATCGAATATTTATTGCGTGTTTTATCTACAGGAAATTGTACACTTTTAATGTTCAGTTTATGAAGAAAATCACAGCATCAAAGGCAGTATGGCTGATTAAATGAATCACTTAAGGTCTTAATCAGAGAGAAAAGTGAACACAGAAGTGGTTAAGAAATAATGACTTTCCCTGGGTCTTTTAGAAACCACTGATTCACAAACTCTGTTTTCCTCTCAATGTTCTCTCAGCAGCAGCAATAGTGCCAAGCCCCAGCAGGGATAAGAATCTCTCTACCTACATCCCTTATATAAGTTCTAAGAAAGAGTTACAGAATTCCAGTTTTCCCTGTTTATATCTGACTTTATACAAATATAGCCACCAATTTATTTCTTTTTTTTTTTTTTTTTTTCCCAACGTTTATTTATTTTTGGGACAGAGAGAGAAAGAGCATGAACGGGGGAGGGGCAGAGAGAGAGGGAGACACAGAATCAGAAACAGGCTCCAGGCTCTGAGCCATCAGCCCAGAGCCCGACGCGGGGCTCGAACTCACGGACCGCGAGATCGTGACCTGGCTGAAGTCGGACGCCTAACCGACTGCGCCACCCAGGCGCCCCGCCACCAATTTATTTCTAGGTTTAAAAAACTTGATATAAATCCTTGGGAAGCAAGAAATACTAACATTCTAAGTTTCAAATACAAACCTGAAAGTTAAATTGTACATTAGTCTTATTAGTGAAATCTCTATAACTTCTCATGTGCCAAGATTTATTATAATCTGCCAAAAATGAGAGCAGCTAGGTCTACTGGAAAAATCTTATCTGCCACTATTTTGTCCAAACCATACAAGTAGTGGCCTAGTAAGTGGTTAGAAAAAATGCTCCCTACTTGCATAAGCACTTAATGTGCCCACTTTTGTCCTACACAGATTTTAATTAACAGAATGTCACTTCATACACATACGTAGTTTTCTCAGAAATGGTAAAAAGAGCTAAGTGTTTGGAATTACCTTGAGTGGTGAAGTTGAAGAGTGCAGGTGTGTCTCGCCCATTTGGTAGTTTGACATTTGGGTCCCTTAGTTCATCAAAAAATGAATGTGCACAAGCTTCCAGTGGTGTCAATCGGGCAGTTGGTGTATACTCCAGCAGACGGCTACACAGTGCAATTGCCTCCGGTGGAGTCCGGGGTCGGAAGACCTACAGCACAAAAAAAAGGGAAAGAACAATTAATACTTCAGTGTAAGAATCTTAGCAAATTATCCTTTGAGTACTGAGTTAATCCCCACCACGTACAACAACATGGTTGCATTTGTGAAAGGAAGCTTCTAGAATGAAAAGAGTTAACTGCATATGCTTCACCACACTGGGGTGAACTGCTAATTAAAAACTATATGAGAAAAGCTCAGAGAAAAAACTAGGGGAAATAGGAAACAAAATCTACAGCACAATTAAATATGCACACAAAATACAGGCACAAGAGAAAAGACTGGATTCTGGAGGTAAGCACACCTAGAAAAATATAAATTTTTTAAAAAAGATTTGACTACTGTGGCAGTAAAATAAAAAGCTGCCTCTTTTGTGTGATTTTTAGCAGAATAATTATCAGAATAATTGACAGCCCTACTCAAATTTGGTAATCAAGATCTTTTAAAAGAGAAACGCTATTTACTTTAGATCTACAAATGCCAGTGACTTGGTATTAACTCTTTAATATAAGAGTCTACCTTATTTGAAAAAAATTCTTGAGTACCCAGAATTTGACAAAATGTCCAAGGCTTTTCTCAAGGAGTAGCTGTTATCACAAACATGGCCAGATAACCCTCATTTGAATGAATATTCTAGGGTTTTAATTAGGGAGAAAGAAACGTACTTTTCATTAAGAGCCATTAATTCACAGAAAAAGTCAACTGAAGGCTATATTAAAGCAAAATGCATATGAACTAGTTTGCTTAAAAGAACAGAACGCCTTCCACATCTATGTCTTGAAATGCTTAATCAATACATAAAACTATGAAAATAACTGTTCTAAATTATGGAGAGTTGAAGAATAAAAACAGAAAGGAGAAAAACAGAAATAAATATAAACAGATGAACATAAAGCCTTTGAAACAAAAAAATGAAACGTATACCCCTTGATAGGAAGAACACAGGATAACAGAGGGTGTGGTAGTGGCAGCAGACAGACATATAAAGAGAGGCAGAAAAGTATAAACGGAGGCAAACAGTGCAGGAAGGACATGTAGATTGTGATGAGGCATGGAGGACCCTGGGAGTAAGGTTTCCTGATGAGAGCAGCTCATGTAACATCTGGCCGTTCACTTAGACTGGAGGTAGGAGAACTAGTTACTACTATAGAGCTCATTATTTTTCAAGACACTACTTGTAAGAGTACTTTCTACAGTGAAAACCTTTTTTTCTTTTGTTTTTACACAAAGTTTATTGCTAATAAAGATATTTTCCATGGAAATCGAGAAATTGGCTTGAGTAGGAATTCATTTCAGGATGTTAAAGGCCTTAATTATTCATTTGACCATATTAGAAAACCCTCTGTACAGTCAAAAACTGCTTTATCTTTATTCTTTTGAGTGATCTGAGTTGCCTCAGTCAAGGAAATCTTCAAAGTATTATATTATTTGAAACGTTCAGATCTTCCACTATTCTAAGAAATTTTTCCCTCTCTTGCTTTCTAGCCAGGTTCATTTTCAAACTCAGAATGTAAAAGAAAATAATCAGTGGGAAAACTCAAAAAACCTTTCATAAAAATATCAAGTATTACTGAGAAGTTTTATCCCTGAGGGCTGTCTGCATTTATTTCACAGCACATGGATTTATTTTGCTAGCTAGTCTAAGGAAAAATGCTTTTGCACCAATATGGGAGCACATAAGTAGAATTAAAAGTACCACTAAAAGTAGAAATAAGTGTCTCCTGCTAACATTCAAATGTAGGGTAGCTGGACAGTGAGTGTACTTTAATGAAAAATTTCATGTTATATTAATGAAGATTTTGTGTTAAAGGTACTAATAAACCAGTACTGTAACCTTATCTCTGATTATTAAAAAAAAAAAAAAAAAAAAAAAAAAAAAAAAAAAAAGTCACCCACATCCTTTTAGTATCTTACTGGCTACAAATGACCATCCAGGTTGGTACTAAGATAGGTATTAGCTTATTTTGCCAGGGAATCCTAACTCATGGAAAAACAGAGTTAAAAACAATAAACAAGAATTCATTCTAAGAGCCTACATTAAAATCAAGACTTAAGCTGCCTTTAAGAAAGTATCCGTTATTTTTTTTATACCCTTTGAGAGATTCCTGATAAGACCAGTACTCTATGGATAAAAGTTAAGTGGGAAATTATGTCGAGTCAAAACCAGCGTCTCCCAAAGTTCAGATTTGTGACCATAATATAGGGTGTGGTAGCATACAACTTCAAAAAATTAGAGGCCAAACTAGAAAACAGCTCTTCTGAATTATCTTTGTGTCTAAAGAAAAGGAAGCCAGTAACTACTGAAATCTGGCTAATAACAAAGCTTCTGCTGCTGTACTCATTTAAATTGTTTAAGATTCATAACCTTTATTGCTGCGTATCGTTGTTCATATTTATTCTTGTGAAAGTAATTTTTAAACCCCACAATTCCTAAACTTTAGTCTAGATGTCAATAAATCACTCAGGAGACTGACAACCTAAATATATGATAAGTAAAACCTGTATCGCCACATAGTGAATGAAGAAGAAATCACAGCTAGCTACCTATGCTGTTTTTACTTTTACATTTCCAGAATGAATAACGGTTTTGCCTTTCTAAAAAAAGTTTTCCCCCTAGTTTTATAGACCTGCCCTGAAATTTTGGGAAAAAAAAATTAAGTACATACCCGCACTCCTGAGGTGAAATGTCCTGTTCCTGACGAATCCTAAAGATGATAATGCAGTGAAATAATCCAAACAGGGGAAGTCAATCCAAAAGAGAATAGTCCAGCAAGGAAAAATATATCCAGTGTTATAAGAAATCCATGGTGTTGGGGGGGGGGGACATAGAAAATGTTTATACAGTTATAAACTTTAAACATCAGTCTCCACAGTAGCAAGTCCAAGTTTTAAAAATTATTTCACCACAGTGTATGCAAAAAAATTTTTGATTGCGCAATGGTGAGGCACAATAAAGAAACATTTTAATTTTAATTTATTATGTTCCAATGCCAGTGCGTTTATTAAAAAAATACAAAACCAAAAAAAGTTAAAATCAAAATGAAATCTAGAAGTAAACTTCCCAAAGTAAAGTGTTTGGTCTTCTACGACCTGGATTCATCATCCATTGACATGACTGGGATGGGGCATATTAGCCTGCTTTTAAAGATATCAGTTCCCAATATGCTAATTTTTATCTATTAATTTATTCCAGTTAGACAGTATAAACATTTTTTTGCTTAATTATTAGTGATGGAAGAAAGTAATAAATATATTTAATTTATATTACTATAGATTTCAAGCCAGATATTTTCAATTTGTGTGAGCTAAGAAGGATCAGGCCACCGCGGATTATTCTTCATTTTGGATTGACTTCCCTGCTAAAAGATATTTGCTGACATTCTCATTATTTTAGGATTCTTCAGGAAATTGACATATCACCTCAGGAGTGCGGGTATAAACTTACTTTCTCTATTGTGGGCTTTGCCCCCTCATACCCTTGCACCCATTACTTAGTAAAAATAAATATAGAACATTCTTTCCTTTTTGGAAAAACTCACTGAAAAAAAAATGCTACATCTTTGAGCACTACAAATTCAACACAGTTCCATGTGCAAATATGCCCAATTCACCCACCAAAAGCTAAACAAAAAATATATACAATAAACAATACAACTAAGGGACAGTCACAGTTATAGGTGACATGCATAGTAATGTACACCAACACCTAGGCACAACGGAGCCAAATATGCAAGGGAGGTAGTAGGATCTATTATGTCTAGGTATTGAGAATAAAAAATGGCAGAACTCACCAGTAGCTGTGAATTCCCTTGGCTATTCTAAGAGAATTTAACATTCTTTTAGGATAGTTTCCAGTGGGGGAATTAATATTTTGCAAAAATAAATAATCCGCGGATTACTTTTAGTCTGCAGACTAAAATTTAGTACACGGATTAAAATCCGGCCCATCAGAATAAAAATCTCTCATGAACTAAAACACAATCAGCTGGACAAAGATAGAAAGCAAGACTAAAAAAAATGAGAGCACAAAGTAAGACTCAATTGGGCCAACTAACGATTAGTGCGCAGACTAAATATGGCCAGCCAAGTATGTTAGCAAGGCCATGAAGAGCCCAAAACACCCCCTGTAAAAACTAAAAACAAAAGTAAATAAATAAAATAAAACAGAACAAAGCAAAATAAATAAATAAATAAATAAACAAAAGAAAGAAAACAGAAAGGAAAAATTGAAAAGAACTAAAACACTGACATGAACTTTTAAGTGATTCAAATACTACCTCACCTGTGCAGCAACTCATTTTCTTAAATTGAAGCAAACTCTCACCACAAATACTAGTCCATAGAAGAAACTAACAGAAAGAATTCATTTTTTCAAAAAGAAAGTCTCTATGGTATTGAACAAATGCAAATGAATCCTTAACTGAAGAATTATTCAAAATAAATTTGCATTTGGATAACTCAAAAATGACAGAGGCAATTTTCTCCTTACATGTCCTAGACAGAAACTTTTGCCATCAAATACCAAATTTCAACCTGGAGCTAACTGTTATAACTGAATCTTAAGCCTTTTAAAATTACCATTTATAAACAAATATCAAGGCCTATGATTGATTCTCATAGCATCAGCTCTCAGCAATTCTACTATATTAAACAGCCAACCAGAGCAATGTAAAAATGCCTACGGCAAAGATAATTAATCTAAGTAGAACACAGAACAAGTGCTGTGCCTGTTCCGAACAGCTATTCTTTCCTAGATTTCATTGTGATAAATGTACAACATAGACGCTGTTCTCTGGTTATACACAAAATACACAAGCACCCAATGTTGAAGACTGATAAACCATGAACACTCCTAAAGAGCAACCCCAAAACTGCCTCTCAAGCAGTCTATTTATCATCTAAACTTATTTGCAATTTGTAAACCTAAATATAGGATTAAAAGTGAGACGATGCCATAGATTTGTTGAAGAGTTATGTTAATTAACCAGGTTAAGTAGCTACAAAAAAAACTTAAGTCTACTAAAGAGTTCACATGTGGTACATCATTCATAAGAAGCACAAACATCCTTTCCTTAGCCAAAACAGAGACAGCATTCAACAAATTTCATCTGTACTAATTAAAAGGATTATTGAGTTTTCCTGAGCTCTACTACAGTAAGAAATTATTATATGTGTTGACATCAGCATTTAGTTAATTTCTCCCTCTAACGTCACTCACTGATAAAATAGTACTGCAGGCTTACCCAGAAGTATGATTTACCAAATGTCCACTTACTCAATTTAATCTCTCATTGTTCACAAAATAGTTACTGTAGTTAGACTGACCTTCCTAGGAATATAGGAATATTTTCTTTTTATCCATACCTCCTCATCTTAAGGGACAGTCCCCTAGGCTACAACAATTCCTGACCTTACCAACATCTAATCAAATCAAAATCCTCCTTCAACAGCCCACCCCACCTTTTTCTTCTATCACCTTTAAGAAGGCTTCCTTTTTTCCTCTACCTCCCTCACTGGAGATCTGCCTTATACCTATACAGCACGTGAAACACCTCTGAACACCTACAGCACACAATCAAGTATCTGGTTATATATTATTCAATATTTGCTTCAACTGAGTCATTTATATCACCTGTAAGCTTTTCAAAAACAAGGGCTATATATTTTACTTCTTTTTCATACTTTATGGTATCCGGCACAGTGCTGGGTACATAGGAGATAGGTGTTTTAAGGAAAAAATGATATATTAAAAGTAGATTTTTGCTTTCTTTTTTAATTTACCTCCAACCCTATCCCTCTGCTCCCCACAAGTGATCTCAAAACTTATGCCTTAGTATTCTTTCTTGTTTATATTATCCATCTTACATAGGGATTAGCCACCCTAGGGGCTAGATTTTAAAGTGCATAGTTTTCAGCAAAGAAATGGGAGCATAGCCAGTATAACTAGAAAAATGAGGAAGTCTACGCACATGGGAAAATAAATGTTATCGAGAAGAAGTGATTATTCTAGCACTAATGAAGATGTAGGTAGAAAATTCAGTAGAAAACAGTGTATTTTTGAAACAAGTGATAATGGATTAATAGAATGTTCAGGGCAGATGTTAATAATATAAAACTAATTTACCTAAGCAACAGAACAAAACAGACAGGTGCAATCTTAGGAACTAGTAGAAATCCCACAATTGTTTTAGGCTTTCTGGAATACATGTGAGCAAAACCAGAAAAGGTTGATAAGCTTGCCTGCAAAAAAAGAAGTCTGACAACAAATTTTGTTTTGTGCTCTCTCGACCCCTCTGAAGGCATTTTTTGTTCTTTTTTTTTTTTTTTTTTAACGTTTATTTATTATTTTTGGGACAGAGAGAGACAGAGCATGAACGGGGGAGGGGCAGAGAGAGAGGGAGACACAGAATTGGAAACAGGCTCCAGGCTCTAAGCCATCAGCCCAGAGCCCGACGCGGGGCTCGAACTCACGGACCGCGAGATCGTGACCTGGCTGAAGTCAGACGCTTAACCGACTGCGCCACCCAGGCGCCCCTGAAGGCATTTTTTAAAACTGTAAATGTGTTAAACTATAGTTGAAACAGCTAAGTTTACCAAGTGAAAAATATTGTACTGAAAAGCTCAGGAAAAAAAGGTAAAATTATAAAGTCTTCAAAAAATAAGTACGGTAGGAAAAAAAAAGTACAGTAAGGTTTTGTGTTTAGTTTTAAACATAGAGAATAAAAAATGTACCATGTCCTATCTAGTCTGGTACCTTTAACAGCTGAAACGACCTCGAACCCAATTTTCTGCTTACTCATAGCTAGTTGTAAATAGTACTACATTTATTCATTTTCAAGTATGTGGACAGTGTTCTAAGAAATTGAGTATGTAAGGACTGACTTGTGGATACTGCTTTCTGTGATACTTAACCAATAATCTACGGCCCCATATATCCTACAGACACTTAACTATTAAACTTACTACGTGTTCCAAAGACTGAGCAACAAACATTTTAAAGTAACTGATATCCATCTTATTATTACCATTATGAAAAAGAAATTAGGAACTGCTACAATACATATGGTATAACTTGAAAGGTACTATAAGAGTTATATGGTGGGAATTAATCATGGAGAGCTCAGAAAATTAGAAAATATTTCATGGGAGAAGTTAAGATTTGAGTCTTGACAAAAGATTAAGATGTGGTAAGCAGGCAAGAAGAAGATCCTTCCAAGTGTGAAAAGACGCTAATAAAAGAGAAATATAAATCGCTTCTCTGGGGGAAAATTAGAGGTTAGAAAGGTCAGGAACAGAACAAGAATAAACTTCTTGCTTTTCTGGGGAAAAAAAGAAACAATAAGGAACAGAATGACTGTATAATCTATTATCCAAAATGGGACACTTTTGAGAGTGAAGAGACATTCAATTAATAACTGAACTAGACAAGCAAAAGTGGGACATAATCATCACCTTGTCTTTATATGTATGTCATATTTTCCTAAAAGCAATGAGTAATCAGAGAAGATTTCTAAATAGGAGTGACAGTATTACATGTACTTTTAAGAAAACTTTGAGCCACCTGGGTGGCTCAGTAGGTTAAGCGTCCCACTCTTGATTTTGGTTCAGGTCACGACATCATGGTTTGTGAGACCAAGCTCTGCATGATCAAGCCCTGTGTCAGGCTCCACGCTGATAGTGTGGAGCCTGCTTGGGATTCTCTCTCTCTTTCTATCTCTTTCTCTCTCTCTAACCCACTCTCGCTTGATACATATGTGCTCTCGCAAAATAAACAAACATTAAAAAAGAAAAAAAAAGATGTGAAACTGAAGGAGGGAAACTGGTTAGGAGGCTGTTTTAACAATTCTATGATACGATGATGGCCAAAACTAAACTCCGGGCAGGACAGAGAGGACAAACCATAGAACTATATTGGAGGCAGAATCTTTATATTACTTTAGAACTAAAATAAAATAATCCTTTATGTGCATATTACTATTTTCCAAAGAATCCTAGAAAAGACAATAGCTAATCGGTATCTTGCAAAAGAAAAAACTCCAGGCACAAAGAGTAGGAGTGATGTTCAAACTAGATCCTCACTTCATACCTAATAGACAGGCTGTCATTTAACCATACCTCGGTATACTAAGTGCAGAATTTAAGCTTCCTCTTCTGCCAGCCAATTTCCATCTCTTTTTAATTCGCAAACTTTCTTTGCATCACTTGTTTTCCTTTCCATCTGGCTTTTTATTCTTTGAAGTTTACAGTATACAGCAATGCAGGAGGTTTTTATCCTCTTATCCCCACTCAGTAATGGTCCCTGTTTCAAAACATTAGCATTTTCTTTCCTACTTAAACTTTAAATCAATGAATTAGATTGCTCTGGCTATTAAGTAATAGTCAAGGGCAACTTATTGGATTTCTAAATTCTCAAGATTCCTGCCCTAAACCATACCAGAAACATCTCATTGTCTAGTTCTTCTGTTTGCTATTTTTCCTACACATCTAAATCCCTTCACTTCAATGTTTGCATAAAAGACATTTCTTTCTTGATCTTTCTGTCTGCCTACATTTTTGAGCACACCAGCTTCCAGTATTTGGGGATATAGCTGTACTATACTGCAGCACAGAAAAGCAGGGTTCACATGCTCACAGTTTTAGGAAATGGACCTAATGTAGGTTCTATCAGAAGACCAAAATAAAGGCAAAGCAGCTTTTGTTTCCAGACTTTGTTACCTGCCCTCAAAAGGCAAGAAGCTCTTCTCTTTAGAGAACATTATGTGTTTCTTAAAAAATAACTTCACTGTCAGCCTAGCATAAGACAGTACTTCTGAGGCTGGTGTTTACTATCATAACAGAGAAGACAGGGGACTCACTTCCTGCCAGAAATTTAAAATTTTGTGTTTTCATTTTGATAATAATCTATTTTAAAAATCAACATAAGCATATTTTGGATCATCTAGATTCATCCAGATGACAGAATAGTGTCATGGAATTTCTGTGTCTGAATTTGGTTTTGTGTTTACAACTAATAACATCAACCTAGTTATGTGCGCTAATGAGAAATTAACATAAGTGTACTTATTACATAATAAATGCATTTGTACTAAGTGAAAATCAAATTATGCCAAGGCACACTATATGAATGAAGAGTTGACAGTAGTTTGAACACACAAAATAGGTGGGAGAAGTGAGTCATCATTCTATACATGGTATATAGGAATGGAAGCCTAAAGAAGACAAACAAACAAAAGGGCTTTATATAGATTATTCAAGTTTGAAGAGCATTATTGTAAGATATAAAACATCAGGAGTCCACATAAGTAGAGGAAGATGTAAAGTATACATATTGACCACAAATCTTATGCAGGCTGCATTTTAATTATAAACAACCATTCCTCACCTCACGTTCCATCTTAGCTAATACTTCAAAAGATATATCCTGGGGGAAAAATGCAGAATATGACACACACTAATACTGGCAGCAGTCTTGATGTAAAAAAAAAGGATAGAAACTGTTAAAGTAAATTTCATGACCTCAATTTCAGCATCATGTTGGTTAGATAGATACTCTATATTAAGGGTAGCATGTAAGGAATACTTAGATTATACCAAAAAGAGCTTTATTTTTCTTTCTTCATAAAAATGACACTCTTATTAATGAAAGTGTGGAAATGCAAAACAAAGAAAATAAAATCACCTACACTCATCTCAATCAAACATTAGCATTTTGGAGTATTTCCCTGTATTTATTCAATATATAGAATTCTCTTTATTTTTTGTTTTTCTTTATTTATTTATTTTTTTTTTTAATTTTTTTTTTTCAACGTTTATTTATTTTTGGGAGAGAGAGAGACAGAGCATGAACGGGGGAGGGGCAGAGAGAGAGGGAGACACAGAATCGGAAACAGGCTCCAGGCTCTGAGCCATCAGCCCAGAGCCTGACGCGGGGCTCGAACTCACAGACCGCGAGATCGTGACCTGGCTGAAGTCGGACGCTTAACCGACTGCGCCACCCAGGCGCCCCGATTTTTTGTTTTTTCTTTAACATGGTTGAAATCATAGTATACTACAAGTCACTTATACTTTAACTTATAAAACTTCACTGAATTCAAACTACAACTCAACCTTTAAATCCCAAAAGGTCACCTAGGAATCTCTGAGTTTAGAGCCAGGTGAGAGACCCTAAGTATCTTCTGACCCAGTTCAAAATAAACTTTAAGCGTAAGATCAAAGAATGGTTTATCTCAGAATACTTACTGTTTATTATAAATTTTAAAAGGTGTGGTGGGGAAGGCAACATCATGGCCAGTAAAAGCTAACCTAGAATTCTGGCACTAAAACACCAAGATCTCCGATTCTAAACAAGTAATTAGTGACAAAAGGATCTTCTGCAGTGAAGAGAGATAATAAGATTCTGAGAACTTAAAGGAAAAGTAACAAGAACCATAATACAATTTACAGAAAGAAACATACTTTGAATCTGGGAATATAAATTATTTCATCTATAGCCCTAAATTATTTCACCTCTTATCATAAAAGATACATAACCAACTAAATGAACCCATCAATGCTCAAAACAAAATGTTACATCTACATTTTTAAGTACAGAAAATCTCTGCTTGAACCATAAAAGAGCTGAACATTTCTAACTCACAAAAATATATAATGAAATATACATAAAGACGAGAAGAGGTACATGTTACATAACTCTAAATAAAGTCTGGCATTGCATGCGCGCGCGTGCGCGCGCACACACGCACGCACGCACACACACACACACACACACACAGAAGTTTAATCCTGGCTTTGTCATGGCCACCTATGTAATCCTGAATAAGTCACTTGGTATCTTTGGCCAGAGTTTCTGAATCTATAAAATAAGGACACTAGAGATTCACTCTAGCAATAAGCCCTGATTGAGATTTTTTTCCTCTGCTCTAATCTCACAAATTACACCGAAATGAAAAAACTTTTAAGTAAAATCTCTCTTAAAATTATTTCAATTAAGTATCAAAGAAAAAAATCAATTTTCTGGTAAATTAGTACCTATGCTCTTAGAATTGGTTCCATCTAATGTTGGGGTGAGGCTATCCAAGGGCTAGTGATATCCCATTAACATATCAGTACTTTCAATGTATACTCCAAGCCAGATCAAATCTTTTTATTTCTCTCCCAAAACACCAACAGGAAAGTAAATGAAAGAAAAAAGACAGTATAATCTATAATAAGATCTACATAATAATAGTTTTAAAAATAAATACATGAAATATACATTTTCATATGCTATATATTGAAAAAGTATCTCTAATTGTGTGAAGAAATTAACTTCTGAGTTTACCTTGTCAAAATTTATATATAAGATACTACTCCTGATGAAATTCTTTATTTTGATGATATAGGTACACTGTCGTTATCCTACAAATAAAAACCCAGGCTGAAAACCATCTACAGGAAATCAGTAGGGACAAAACTATATACTGTCAATGACACACTGATACTACCCAACTATATTTAGATGCAGAGCTGCTGTATACTTTGTACTCAGGCAGCTATCTAGTATCAAAATAGTTTAGTTTAAGAACAATGAGAAACCCAAATTTAAGTTAACTACTGGTTAATGTGCTTTTTAAAAAACTCTTTTTGACTCACCTTAGTCCAAGGATGCGCCTTAATTTGAGGGAATTTGAATTCTGTGTAGTTTGGGTTCATTTCTCTAATTTGCTCCCTTGTTGGTGTCCCCAGGACCTAGATAAAGAAAGCAAGTTATTGCCATATTTTTCTATATACTTACAAATATTAAGTCTTTATGTTTTAGCATATTGGTTTCATTGGAAAAAGGAATTCCAAAGTTATGAAATACAAAACACGTTAAAAAGAGCAGACTTTGCACGAGACTTTTTTTTTTTTAAGTTTATTTTTGAGAGAGAGAGAAAGAGCACACGCGCTTGTGGGGTAGGGGCAGAGAAAGAAGGAAAGAGTGAATCCCAAGCAGGCTCTATGCTGTGAGCGCAGAGCCCAACATGGGGGTGAGATCGTGACCTGAGCTGACGTCAGAAGAGCCTGACACTTAACTGACTGAGCCACCCAGACGCTCCAAGACTTTTAATTTTTAACTGGCTATGGATCCTAATGCTATACTACCCTACACAGACTTCTATGAGATAATCATAATGTGAAGCCACTGTTGTAAAAAAAAGATCACTCAAAAGCATTCAAGTAAAAATCAAACATCTTTGTTCTAACTAGAAAACCATCTACTGTAACCATGGACATTTGAAATGAGATCTTTTATTCATTTAGTGTAGTCAAAGATTTTAATTTTTTTAAGTTTATTTATTTTGAGAGAGAGAGAGAAAGAGAGAGACAGAATGAGTGGGTAGGGGCAGAGAGAGAGGGAGAGAGAATTCCAAGCAGCTCCATTCTGTCAGCGCAGATCCCGACGTGGGGCTCGAACTCATGAACCATGAAATCATGACCTGAGATGAGGTCAAGAGTCAAACACTTAATGGAATGAGCTACCCAGGTGCCCCACAGGTTTTATTATCAATAAATTAATAAGGAGAACTTACTCCAACAGTCATCAATAATACCATTCAGTGAGTATTTAGTGATTGTTCCCTGTGTCCAAGGAACTATGCTATGACATATGGAGAATACAAAGAAGAAGAGATTTCTTGTTATAATGAAATTACACATTTGTGCATGGGAAAGAGTATAATACAAAATAAAAATATATTGAATGCATCATTGCCTCTAGAGATGCAGTATGCACTGGACAAAGGAAAGTCTATGGAATTGACTGCACAAGACAGATGACAGGAAGAAACATAAATTACTAAAAACGAGAGTGCTTTGAAGAAAGATGATACATATCTTTCTTTATAATTCTAAAGCCTGGTATAAAACAAATTTGTTACAATATTCAGCCATTTGTAATTCAAAAATAGTGGCAAAGAAGGAGTGGAACTTAATAGTAAGTACTGGATTTGTGGTGGTAACCGGTGGATAATCAGGGCAAAGTAAGAATTTCAGGGTTTTTCTGGTTTGTTTTTTGGTTCTAATTCTCTAGACTTCATTAAAACCAGAACTTAATCAAAATTTTAAGAGTTTTATTCTTCAAAAGACACTCTTTTTTTTTTTTTTTTTTTTTTTTAATGTTTACTTATTTTTGAGAGAGAGAGAGACACAGAGTGTGAGCAGGGGAGGGGCAGAGAGAAAGGGAGACACAGAGTCCAAAGCAGGCTCCAGGCTCCAAGCTGCCAGCACAGAGCCTGACATGGGGCTTGAACTTACAAATAGTGAGATCATGACCTGAGCTGAAGTCTGATGCTGAACCGACTGAGCCACCCAGTCGCCCCCAAAGACACTCTTAAGAAAACAAAAAGGCAACCTACAGACTGAAAGAAAACATTTGCAAAACATACATTCTGCAAAGGACTCCTATCTAGATTATAGAAAAGACTCCTATAAACTCAAAACAAAACGACAAACAACCCAATAAAAATGGGCAAAAGATAGAATCAGACACTTCGCCAAAGAACACTCAGATAGTAAACTAAATAAGCACATGCAAAAATGCTCAACCTCATTATTATCAAGGAAATGCTAGTTAAAACTGTAAGATACCACCTACATACCTATTAAGAAGGTTAAAGTTAAAAAAAAAAAAAAAAAGATTGCCTGTGTAAACCAAGTCCTGGTGAGGATGTAGAGCAACTGGAATTCTCATCCATTGCTAGTGGAAAGGTAAAATTGTATGGCGCCTTAGAAAATACTTTGGCAGTATGTTAAAGATATAAACATATACTTACCATACATCCATCATTCCTACTCCTAAGTATTTACCCAAGAGAAATGAAAGCATATGTTCATACAAAAACTTTTACACAAATGTGCATAGCACCTTTTTTTGCAACTGCCAAAAAAGTAGCAACAACTCAAATGTCCACAACAGATGAATAAACAAACAAATGAGGGTATACCCATACAATGGAATACTATTCACTAATAAGAAAAAGAACATGAATGAATCTAAAAAAATTTACACTGAGTAAAATAAGCCAGACCAGAGACAGTACCTACTGTTATCATTTCATTTGTACAGAGATGTAGAAAATTTTGTCTCCAGTGACAGAAAGGAAAGCCATGATTGTGAAGGCTGGAGACAAGCCTTTCAAAGAGTACTAGTGAATTATGGGGGGTGAGGAATATGTTCATTGTCTTGATTTCATGGTGGTAGTTTCTTACATGCATACGTCTTACCAAACTGTGCACTTTAAATATGTGCACTTTATTATATGTCAATTATATCTCTCAGAAACTAAGTATAAGAATATATAAAGTTGAAGTAAGAGAGGTAGAACATTCTGAGCTATAGAGTTATATACTATTATTTGTCAATGTAAGTAAAAAAAGAATCTAGTTAACTATAAAATGACATTTAATTGCCTAAAAGACAATTTCTGAGCAAACCCCTGATGTCATTGAGGGGATAAAAAAAGATGTGTAAAAATGATCTAAATTATAACACATCACTCTGTGGAAAGCTCACTTTTGGGCACTGGAAACGTATCTCCAGTTATTTAAGCTCCCTTCCTTTTTTGTAGCAGAAGTCCAACTTTACAGACAGGAGCAAGATATTATCTAGTATTGGGAAGGGAAATCACTGGCTTTTGTAGCTGTAGACATCAGACATTGTAAGTAAGGAACTATTCACACTTAAAATATGAAGGCTAAAAAGGAATCTTAATTTTTATTATTATTTTTTAAATTTTTTTAATGTTTATCTATCTTTGAGACAGAAGACAGACAGACCATGAACGGGGGAAGGTCAGAGAGAGAGGGAGACACAGAATCGGAAGCAGGCCCCAGGCTCTGAGCTGTCAGCACAGAGCCTGACGCGGGGCTTGAACTCACGAACCATGAGATCGTGACCTGAGCCGAAGTCGGAGGCTCAACCGACTGAGCCACCCAGGCGCCCCAATTTTTATTATTTTTAAATGTTTATTTATTTTTGATAGAGAGAGACAGAATGTAAGGGGGGAGGGGCAGAGAGAGAGGGAAACAATCCAAAGTAGGCTCCAGGCTCTGAGTTGTCAGCACAGAGCCTGATGTGGGGCTCAAACTCATGAACTGTGAGATCATGACCTGAGCTGAAGTTGGATGCTCAACCGACTAAGCCACCCAGGAGCCCCTCAGTTTTTATTCTTAAGTAATAAAGCAAACACTAATATCCTATTTTAGACCCTCAATGAAGGGTGTGTGTGTGCACGCGCGCGTGCGCGTCTGTGTGTCTATGTATGTGTGTATATGTGCTGGGAAAGAGGGAGAGGAGTGAAAAAGAAGGGAGTGTGAACTAATCGATAATTCTGCTCCCCAAATGCAACCCTAGTGGATTCCTTTAACTACTGGAAGAAAACAACAACAACAATAACGACATGAATAACTGAGTATTTAAAATGCATATCTTCAATGATGCTACAACTTACTAATTCCATTTTAAGGTATATCCTCTAACCTAGAGAAACTTTTTATACATCCAAAGCAACATTGTTCATAATAAAATACTGCAGGCAAAAGCAAAAATCCCAAAGTAGCATTAATAAATTGAGGTACAGTCATAAAATGGTACATTAACTACACATCCCTTCTGAAGAATCTCACAAAGTGGTGTTTTCACTCAGCAATGAATACATACAGTAGGACTGCCTTATATAAAGCTTAAAAGCAGGCAAGACCAAAGTATATTTTAGTTTATATAGTAAAATTCTAAAACTATATAATAAACAAACATGGGAAATAAAAACTAAAATAAAAAACATGGGAATATTTGTTAGAAAAATCAAGTATGGATTATTAAACTCAACAGAGAAAATATAGGAGGGATTATAACCAGATTGGGGCATAAATAATTCCTTTGTTTTTTTTTATAACCTTTTAAAAAATATTATTTATTTAAAATATGAAATTTATTGTCAAATTGGTTTCCATACAACACCCAGTGCTCATCCCAAAAGGTGCCCTCCTCAATACCCATCACCCACCCTCCTTTCCCTCCCACCCCCTAGCAACCCTCACTTTGTTCTCAGTTTTTAAGAGTCTCTTATGTTTTGGCTCCCTCCCTCTCTAACCTCTAACCTTTAATTCTTAATATGAGTAATAATTACATGATATTCACTTTATTATTGTGCTTTACACTGAATACATTTTAATATATTTCTGTATTATGATATATTTCACAGTAAACGAAATGACATTTAAGAAAAATGCCCACATTTGAATCACTATTTGCTGTGCAGTCCCCCTCTATTTATTCAGTACTTTGTTAACACAAGACACAGTCCTAACTCCCTACTAGTTGGTAAGAATGCCAAAAGAAATGAGAATTGAATGATGTCCAATTAGTAAATGCAGACTGTATGGACAGAGATCACATGGACTTATCAGCCATTTGGTTAACTTTCCAATAGGGGCTAAGCAAGAGAATTCCAGTTACAAACTATAATGAAAAGGCAGCATCCTCCCTGAAGTGAATGTTATAAAACGTGTTTTTTATTATAACCTAAGGTGAAGTAAATCTGTGAAATACACAATAAAACAGCTGTGAAACATGCCATATATACAAGTTTGCTTAACATACAAACTTTTAATAATTTATTTAATGTGAAAGCAAGAAGGTATACTGTGTGTTTTCACTCCCATATCTTCTCCTTAAATTCCTATCTCAGAGCTACTCACATCTAAAC